AAAACCACCAAATTGGTTTAAGATAGTTCTGTTTGGTTTTTTCCAAGATTTTACTAAACAGGATTGAAAATGACAATTTATTTTTGTCTTTTTCGCATACTTTTTCAGCTAGAAACACAATTATTTCGCAAAATTTGTTGAAAACAAGCCAAAAAAACACAGAATTAGGCCGAAAATGATATAATTTTTGTCCTTTTTCGAAAGTTCAAGCAGATTTTTAAGCCGAAAACTGTTTTTTTGCAACAGTTTGTCATTGCGTGTCAAAAATCACTAAATTGTTATAAAAAAAGATTGTCTTATGATATTTTTACCTAACTTTTAAGCTTAAGCTTGATTATTTCGTCAAATTTTCTCGAAGAAATAAATAATCAAAAACCACCAAATGTGTTAAAAATAGTTCTATTTGTTTTTTACAAGATATTACTAAACAGAGTCAAAAATGACAACTGCCACAAGCCACAAATTCAACAAAATATCCCAAAAACGAGTTTTTTTGTCTTTTTCGAGTGTTTAACGATGTTTTTAAGAGATGAAAACACCAAAAGTTCAAAATAGGCCAAAAAAATTCAAAATTAAATCGAAATTGATATCATTTTTAAACTTGTTTCTTGAACCAGAGGTTCATTTATTTTGTAAAATCTTGTCCAAACACGCGTAAATATCACAAACAGGAGTGAAATTAATGTTTTACTGATTTTGGACAAAAATAAACAAAATTTACCCGAAAATATCAGTTTTTTCGCTAGATTTCACTAAAACAAACTAAATAATCAAGAAATTAAGTCTAGAATTACATTATTTTAGCATTTTTTTTAGCTAGAAACGCAATTATTTCGCAAAATTTTGTCGAAAACAAGCAACTAGGTCATTTTTGCTTTTTTTCCAAGGTTTAAGCAAATTTTTAAGTTGAAATCTGCGAAAATTTCTAAAATTTTTCAACTCGGATTTGGTGAATTTTATGTTTTTAATCTGGCATCACACACTCGCCATATCTGACACCAATCGAATTCTCATGGTTGGGTGGGGGGTGGGGGTAATAGTCGTCTTTCGTCGACTTAAACAAATTGCGGCGGAAGTGATGAAGAAAGGACGAAATAACGAGAAAAATGCAAATGCTTTTACTTAAAGTTGAGTTCCGTCAGGTACTTTTTCGTTTTATTTTACGATTCAATGCACCGCAAGTAGGTTAAAGTAATTATGCATTTTATTTAAACGCTTCAATTTATTATAAAGCGTGTTTTATGCTAATGCGAGGGATCGACTCGAAGGACATAATTCACGAAAAAGAAGGGGGAAGAGTAGTAGGAGTAGGGAAAAAAATTCGCTTTCTTGAATCGGGACTATAAAATACTGGACGACGCACGACCTGTCTCGAGAACGAGGGCACCTTTCGACCCTTGTTATCCTTTAACTCCTGAACTGAGGGTCAATTCCATTATTGCTGTTTATGCGGTTGAAGGAAACAAATTTACAACACGAGACTGACTTCTTCGCAGACCTGGAAGACTGCAACTAAGTTGACGGGAATTTTGCATAATTCGATAGTGACATTGTCTACAACCGTGCATAACGGATTTCGACTAAAACTTTTAAAACTACACAAACTTTAGCGATGCTGCGATCATGACTTCATTTTCTTCTTGAGAAAATTTATTTTAAAATAATTTTTTAAATCGTAATTGAAAGAAAAATACACATTTTAAACGAATTATACCTTGTTTTAGAGAATTTGTCATATAATTTTCTTAAAAAACTATAAGTATCCCAAATGTTAGCTATTTTATATAAGAATAGACAATAGCCAGTAGATTTTTCTCAAAAACCTGCAAGTGAACTTGAAATGTTGTTTTTTTCAGGGACAAAACTATAAACTAGCAGATATTTTACTATATCTTTTCAACAGTTTGTTTTAGAAGAATAATACTATTACTATTACATTTTTCGGATCATTTTGCATAAGAAAGCATATTTTTTATATATTTTTTTCCAAAAAACTATCAGTAAATTGCAAATGTTAGCTGTTTGATGAAATCAACACGAATTTTGCGGTTTTTAGACAATATCTTCAGAAATATTCGTCTTAGCGGAATGATTCTTAAAGATTTAGATTCCTCGTATCATTTTACGTAAGAATGGACAATTGCCAGTAGATTTTTCTCAAAAATCTGCAAGTGAAACTGAAATATTCCTTTTTTCAGGGAAAAAACATGAATTAGCAGATATTTGACGATATTTCTTAAACGGCTTGTCTTAAAAAAATAATTTTTTTACAGTTAAATTTCTTGAACCATTTTACATTAGCGGACATGAATCTCATTAAATTTTCTTTGTAAGACTATAAGCAAATCGCAAATGTTTGCAATTTTTTAGAATCAAACAAATTCTTGCAATTTTTCGACAATATCTTTGGAAATATTTGCCTTAGAGTGATGATTCTTGCAAATTTAGATTTCTCGTATCATTTTATGTAAGAATGGAGAGTCGCCAGTAGATTTTACTAAAAAACCTGCAAGTGAACCTGAAATGTTGCTTTTTTCAGGGAAAAGACCATAAATTGGCAAATATTTTACTATATCTTTTCAACGGTTTATTTTATCTGCATAATTCTTACACTACTGAACTTTTTGGATCATTTTACATAAAGAAACATATTTTTCATATAATTTTCTTCAAAAAAATTTAAGCAAATCGCAAATGTTTGCTATTTTTAAGACCCAACACGACTTTTGCGGTTTTTTGACGATATCTTTAGAAATGTTATTCGTAGCGAAGTGTTTTTTACAAATTTGGATTCCTCATATTAATTTACGTAAAAAAGGATAATTTTTAGTAAAAACTTCGCAAAAACTTGCAGGTAAATGTTGTTTTTTTCGGAACAATGACCCTAAATTGGCAGATATTTGATGACATTTCTTAAACGGCTTGTCTAGAGGAATAATTCTTCCACAGTTGAATTTCTTGGACCATTTTACATAAGCGAACATAAATCTCATTGAATTTTCTTCGAAAAACTATAAGTAAATCGCAAATGTTTACTATTTTTTTTAGAATCAAACAGATCTTTGCAATTTTTCGACAATATCTTTGGCAATATTTACAGATTTAGATTCCTCGTATTATTTTATGTAAAAATGGACAATCGCCAGTAGATTGTTCTAAAAAACCTGCAAACCTGAAATGTTGCTTTTTTTCAGGGAAAAGACCATAAATTAGCAAATATTTTACTATATCTTTTCGTTGGTTTATTTTACCTGAATAATTCTTATATTATTAAATTTTTTGGATCACTTTACATAGGGAACATATTTTTAACTAATTTTCTTCAAAAAAAATTAAAGCAAATCGCAAATGTTTGATTTTTTCAAGACCTAACACGCCTCTTGCGGTTTTTTGACGAAATCTTTGGAAATCTTAGTCCTAGAAAAGTGTTTTTTTACAGATTCCTCGTATTATTTTACGTAAAACTTCTCAAAAACTTGCAAGTAGAACGAAAATGTTGCTTTTTCGGAGTAATGACCTTCAAGTTGACAATTATTTGACGATATTTTTTCAAGGGTGTGTTGATTTTCTTGAATCATTTTACGTTAGAGGAGTTTTAGTTTCAATTGATTTTGCAAAAAACGCTCAAAGTGCAAATATTGCGGTCGAAACGCAGCATAAAAAAGAAAGGTTGGTTAATTCTCATCCCTCTCTGAATTTATTTACGTTTTGATGTAGTCCGTGTAGTTGACAGGTCTTTGTCACCTCCCGTATCCAATTTACTTCAAAATTGCGGTCCGTTTTTATAAATTTGAGTCGTCGAGAGAACACGAAACGTCCATCCTGGACCATTTAAACATCAGATTCCGGTGAGTTGCTTCTGATCTGTTCGCCGATAATCCAGTGAGAGTAGCGCGGTTATAGATTTAGGTGTGTCCGTGTTTGTCCAAGGGATTTAAACTTTAGACTACAATTCGACATTTGCATTTCGGAATTTGGTATTAAAACACCTGATTACGGTGTGATTTGCAGTGTCTTTCTTTCAGTGTGATGAATACTCAGTCAGCCGCCGCGGGCTCTTTTGTCAAGACGGAATGAGGAGCGATGACGCGCTGGAAATTGGATGTCACTTGGAGGTGTCACCGCAGTGTTTTTCCAGCCGACGGCTACGCCGATGAGAACCAGACAAATCAGCTTGAAACAAATGAGAAAGTCCACGACAAATGATGGAAGGTGCACCGGAGGTCACGATGTTGATTAAACCGCACCGGAGACGACGGCCTGCCAACATAATCACCAATAAAACGACAACACCTTACTCGACAATATTTCATCACTTCTTACACCATTTTCTGCAAAATCCAATAGAAATGATGATGTGCCACGTACGGCATCATTTTACACTTGCCTCAATTTATTAATGACCGGCTTTAGAAACTTATGCCGTCTAGTCTGAAAAAAGGGACATCCTCATGTCCCTTTTTGGGGCAGCTCAATAACTTCCGCAATTTGTTTGAGAAAATTACAATTCTTTGAGATTTTCATCCGCTTATTGTCTTCCGTTTGTTTCATTGCTCTATTAGTTAATACCAAATTTTGCAAACTTATGCCATCTAGTTTGGAAAAAAAAGATGTCCCTTTTTTTGGGTAACTCAAAAAATGGCCTAATTTGTTCGGGAAAACCACAATTCTGGTGGATTTTAACCCGCTGATTCTCATTCTGTACGTTTCATTGCCCCCCTAGCGCCCCCCTAGGTGCTAGTCATCGAACCCGTTGTCGCGTTTAGCACTCAGCATGTCTTCGACATCGTCCGTGCATTAACGTTAATCTCGTTCGTCGTCAGCTTTTAAAACTTTTTCCACAACAACGCCGCCCTTTGATATACCTCCCATAATATTAAAAGGTAATCGAATTGGTAGTGTGTGCGGCGCTCAAAAACCCAACTAATAACCATCGTAGGTCGGATGTTCGATATTAAAAGCGTTTTATAGGAGAGAGGCGGCCATGTTCCATCCGGTAGCGACTAATCAGCACGTTTTATTCCAATTCAAACGCACCGGCCATGTCATTGCCCATTAAAATCATAGTCGTCGTCGTGTATTTCAAAGCTTAATGTGGAAATGTACATCATCTGTTTATATCTATAGGTGTTCGTGTCATGTTAACTCATTACAGTCATAAAGAGGACCGAATATACACTCAATTATGAAACGATACAATGAATGAAAGGAGACACAGAAAACGGAACAAACAACAAATTAAAAATACACACATAAACATAACGGAAAAACTTTGATTGGACGACTTTTACGAGAGGCTAAACACAATTTACACGATTTGTCAAATTTGACTCAATCTAGTAGGCGGGGGTGATTTTAACTGTCAAAACTGAAATCCTCGCTCAATTCCACATAAGAAAAACACCATTTGAAAGACAAGAGAAAATTATTTATGAAATTTGAGCGAATTTTCCAGAGTTTTAAAAAATTGTCTCAGCTAATGGGTAAATGAGCTCATATCTTTAGAACTAGTGGTCGTAGCTAAGTGCGACCTGCAAATTAGTAATCCTCGTCCAAATTCACATAAGAAAAACATCATGTGAAAGACTAGAGAAAATTATTTATGAAATTTGAGCGAATTTTCCAGAGTTTTAAAAAATTGTCTCAGCTAATGGGTAAATGAGCCCATATCTTTGGAACTAGTGG